TTCTGGAAACATAATTTTTATATTATACGCCCTGGGAAACAAAAATTCCATGTGACCCATTCTATCGTAATGCTTGCTTTTTGGCAGTGGTCTGAAAGCAGACCTATACAGTCTCCAAGGTGTGCCTGCATTTAATTTCAGAGGTGTGATGAATGATAATTGTGATTTTATTTTAAGTGGGAAAGAAGAGAAATGAGAGCTGATTATCTAGCCAGAATGAGTTAAATGGAAGTGAGTACAGCACTAGCTGCAAAGAATTAGCAAAAGTATCAAAACTAAGGATCAGTGCATTTGCAATTTTCTCTCTGTGTGTGTGTGTGTGTGTGTGTGTGTGTGTGTGTGTTTGGGGAGGGGAGACACACCCTTAGGTGCTCAAGGCTTACTCCTGGTTCTGCACTCAGGGATCATTCTTGGTGAGGCTCAAGGGACCGTATGGGTGCCTGGGATCAAACCCTGGTCTGTTGCATGGAAAGCCCTATTTGCTACTGTCTCTGACCCTTAAACTCTTAGATTTTGAAAACAAACAGCCTTTAGGTTTTTTGTTTGTTTGTTTGTTTTGCTTTTTGGGTCACACCCCGGGTGATGCACAGGGGTTACTCCTGGCTTTGCACTCAGGAATTACTTCTGGCAGTGCTCAGGGGACCATATGGGATGCTGGGAATCAAACCTGGGTCGGCGGCGTGCAAGGCAAATGCTCTACCTGCTGTGCTATTGCTCCAGCCCAACCTTTAGTTTGAATGGCAGCATAGATAAGAAAATGATTCATCTTTCCAGAAGCGCAGAGTGAAGGCCAGGGAAAGTCAGGGAAGATGTGCTTGACATTGAAGGTGTATGACATTGCACTTAGTCCTCAAAGAAGGTGTTGGAGGTTGATCAGTGACAGACCTAGATAAGAAAGAACATTGGAATTCTGGAAGAAGACCTGATAGGGAAAGGCATTGTGAGACCAGGGAGGTTGGGCTGCGTGAATGGGAGCAGGTGGAGGTCGTTCTGGAAGCACATCTGGCACCAACCTGTCAACTAGTCCTCCTGCTGAGGAACTTGCACGCGATCTTGTAGGTCAGGAGGTGGCAGGCATCTTCTGTGAAAGATCAGATGGCAAATACTCTGGGTTTCTTACACCATCTGGTCTCGCTTGCATTCATTCACTCTTGTCATAGTGCGCAGAAGCAGCTGCAGACAGTGCGTAAAGGACCCACTGTGACTGTGTTACAGGAAGGGGACGCAGAAGGCGCCTGGCCCACTGGCACCGTGGGCTGCCTGACCGTCTTGGAGGCAGTAGGAGTCTAGGGAGGGTTCTGCCACGAGAGCATCATCCTCTTGATGTGCGGACCAGAAGTCTTAACGAGTCTGAGCCTTCTCTGTTGCGTTAGACGGTGATGCAGTAAGAGGTCAGCACCCCGTTTACTGAGTGAACATATCTGAGTCATGTCATTCCAGGTTTTCTGTCCTCAACACAGTGTCAAGACCTTCCTCTGAAAAATCTGAAGCTGGAAAAGACTGAAGGTTGTTTCAGTAGAGCAGTGTAGTATGTTTGCAAATGATGTACTTTTTCTTAGACTTAAAAAAAAATTTAGACTGGAGAGATAGTACAGCAGATCAGTCACTGACCCTGGGGGATACTGGCCTGGGTTCGGTCCCCCGTATCCCATATGCGCCCCCAGCCCCTCCAGGATTGATTCCTGTGCATAAAAACAAGGAGTAAACTGTAGGTATGTTTGCCACCCCCAGTTTCTCCTGCCCCCCCCCCAATCCCCCGAAGACAAATTATTGTGGGTCTGGTGTGAACTTAGGACTTTCCCAAAACTAAATTGCTGGCGGCTGAAACAATAACACAGCCGGTAGGGCCTTTGCCTTGCACGTGGCTGACCTGGGTTCGATTCCCAGCATCCCATAGGGTCCCCTGAGCACTGCCAGGACTAATTTCTGAGTGCATGAGCCAGGAGTAGCCCCGGCTTACTGTGCTTCGCCGGGTGTGACCCAAAAAGAAAAAACAAAATAAAACGAAAAACTAAATTGCTGCTGGATGGGCAGAGTCCAGGCCCCACCACATCAGTGCGAGCCTTTATCAGGCCACTTTAACTCTCCCGCCTCCTCCTGAGTCTGGATTCGGAGGTTTGGACTGTACATCAGTCCGTCTCCACTTTGTGAAGGTTCATTGTTTAGTTGTTCAGGCCGCCTCTGTATGTACAATTACTAGAGCAGTTCTACCTGGTACAACCATCGATGTGAACATTACTTTTGAATTGTTTTGGGGGGCAGGGGTGGAGACCAAACTTGTGATGGGGACTCTCACTTGCAAGTGCCTACCGCCAGCCTTGTCCCTGACCCAAAGCCAGGCACTTGTAATCCCACCATGTGCCTTTGTTAACAGTGACCCCAAAGAGAAAATAGACTTTAATAATAATACTTTATTTTGTCAAGTAGAAAACTCAGGGACTACAGAGAGGGAGCCCAGTGGAGGGAGCCCGTGTTTTGCATGCAGGAGGCCTGGGTTCAATTCCTGGTACCCCACAGTTCCCTAGAGCACTGCCAGGAGTAGCCCCTGAACACTGCTGGGTGTGACCCCCAAACCAGAAGCAAACAAAACTCCCAGAAAACTAGAATTTCAAATGTCACAGCAAACTGAAATGGCTGAGAAGCCATCTGAAAATTAGTAGGGTCCTGGAAATTTGCTATCAAAGATAAGGTGCATTCTACTGATTAAAATAAAATGGGGCCAGGCTGGAGCAATAGCACAGCGGGTAGGGAGTTTGCCTTGCACCCGGCATGACCGGGGTTTGATTCCCAGCATCCCATATGGTCCCCTGAGCACCGCCAGGGGTAATTCCTGAGTGCATAGTCAGGAGTAACCCCTGTGCATTGCCAGGTGTGACCCAAAAAGGAAAATAAATAATCAAATGAGGAAGGGCCGGAGCGATAGTACAGCAGGCAGGGCATTGGCCTTGCACATTTCAGCTCAGCAGTACTGTACCTGTACAGTGGAGGCCTCTGGGCTAAGTATAGTCTGGGGAACAGTGGCCAGGTGGAAGGCAAGCAGGACAGGGCAGGTCCCCATCAGCTTCGGGGACCCTGCAGTCTGCAAGGAAGAGCAGAAAGGAATATGCTTTGCCCCCAGAAACAGGTCTGCTTGATTCTCACTCGAACAGCGGCTCTCAGTTCTCTGACCCTGCTAGGAAGCTGGGGCCACACTTGAGTCGGGAAATTCTGGGGGTGGGGCTGAGGAACTGTCCCGACAGCCCTCACCGGAAAGGGAGTTAAGGATGAGAATTCAGTCTAAATACAACAGAGCTTCCAACTTTTCTATTTCTTTTCTAGCTGGACTGACAAAAGAAGTTAACCCCTACTTTAGACACAAAAATGTTGTTTTTGGTGTTGAGGATGGAACCCAGGCCCTCGTGCATGGAAATCATGTGCCCTACCACAGAGCCACATTCCTGGCCCCAAAGTTTATTTTTTAATGACTATGAAAATATTTTGCTTTTTAAAAGTCTTATATTTGAGTGCTGTGCAAATTATCTTGATTACTCTTTAAGGATGAGAATTCAGTCTGAACAGTCTGCTTAAAATTTTTGTACATTTTTCTAACTTAACTGATTTCCGTAACATTAAAACAAACAGCAAAACAAAATTGTAAAAGAAAAGAAAGATAAAAATAGCTCTAAATAATTGTCCTTGGTATGTATTCATATACTTTTGTTTTTCAGTTTTTCTTTTTCTTTTTTTAGGAAAGGAGTTTTGCCAGTGTGGTCTCTTTAAAACTTTTCTCCTTAAAATTGCCTGCCTTCTTTAAAGTGACATTTTATGGTTCATATATTTGCTGTTGATGCTATCTTTGTGCAGATTCTTTGGTTTGGTTTGGTTTTGGATCACTCCTGCAGTGCTTGGTTGGGAGGGGGAGACCATGTAGGGTGCTAGGGATTGAACCTGGGTCAGCTATTTGCAAGGCAAGCACCATACCTGCTGTTCTTATTGCTCAGCCCACAGATTCTTCTTTTTAGCTGAGAGAACACATTCTCCCACATTTAGTAAGGGTTTTTTTGTTTGTTTTTTGGGTCATACCCGGCAATGCACAGGAGTTACTCCTGGCTCTGCACTCAGTAATTACCTCTGGAGATGCTCAGAGGACCATATGGGATGCTGGGAATTGAACCCGGGGCGGCCACATGCAAGGCAAACGCCCTACCTGCTGTGCTATTGCTCCAGTCCCCATTTAGTAGATCTTAAACCTGGAAGTACGGAACGAAGGTCTGTTCAACATCAACTATGACAATAGTGATAATTATTGTTTTTCTAAGAAAAAGCAAAAAAGGGTTGGAGTGATTAGTAGGTAGGGCACTTATTTGCCTTGCATGCACCTGACCCAGATTCAACCCCCAGCATCCCACATGGTCTCCTGAGCACCACCAGGAGTAATTCAAGAGTGCAGAGCTGGGAGTAATCCCTGAGCACCTCTAAGTGTGGCCGAAAAACAAAAAAGGGGGAAAGCAAAAATCCAGGATAAACCCCGAACCAGTTGAAGCACTGTATGTACAGCCAGAAACTTAAGGGTCCTCCACACGTCATTAAAATGCAGAATAGTGGGCTGGAGCCATAGTACAGCAGATAGGGTGTTAGTCTTTGTTTTTGTCTTTTGCTTTTCTTGGTGATGCTCAGGGATTACTCCTCCTGGCTCTGCACTCAGGAATTACTCCTGGCGGTGCTTGGGGGACCATATGGGATGCCAGGGTCAGAACCTAGGTTAGCTGTGTGCAAGGCAAACAAAACACCCTTCTCACTGTACTATCGCTCTGGTCCCAGGTGTTCATCTTGTACTCGGCAAACCCAGGTTCGATCCCCAGCATCCCATACAACCTTGAGAACTGCCAGGAGTAATTTCTGAACGCAGAGCCAGGAGTAAGCCCTGAGCATTGCCGGGTGTGACCCAAAAAATAAACACAGATTAGATCTCAGCAGGCGGGGCAACTCACAGTTGTTCATGCTTTCGTTTTCTTTCCTAGGTTTAAGAAAGAGTCGAACTCTCCTGACCAAACAGCAAAAATCAAGTGATTGCCAACACTGGGAATCATGGCACTGCCGTTCCGAAAGGACTTGGAAAAGTACAAAGACCTGGATGAGGACGAGCTCCTCGGGAACCTGTCAGAGACAGAACTGAAGCAGCTGGAGACGGTTCTGGATGATCTCGATCCTGAGGTGGGTGACCGGTGGGTGACCCCTCAGAAAGGGGAAAAGCCTCTCGCCCAGCCCTTGAAAAAGTCCCAGCCGCCCTTAAACCCCGTGTTGTTTCTTCCTGACCTTCCCTTGCCTCCATATCCTCCTTCTCTTTATCCAAGTGAACTTGTAGCTTCCTCTGCAACTCCTCCCACAGCTGCTTCCTTTATCTCTACTGATAGTCCTGTGCTAAGCTCCTTTCTCCAACATCCTTATTTTCACACATCCCCTGAGATGTTCTCTTGTTCAGTCCTTCCCTGCTGGCAGAAAGGTGTGTTGTGTTTTTTTTTTTTTTTGGTAAGACCAGCTCTTTGGGGCCAGTGCAATAGTGCAGTGGGTAGGACATTTGCCTGGCATGCAGCTGACTGGGGTTTGATCCCCGTCATCCTCTATGGTCTCCTGAGCAACACCAGGAGTGACCCCTGAGCACTGAGTCAGGATTAAGCCCCGAGTATTGCCAAACAAGCAGAAAGACCAGCTCTTTGATGTCTGCCCACCCTCTCTGCCTCTTCAGAGCTTCTCTCTGGGGATGACCCAGTGTGTGTCTAGAAGGCTATCTTGCTCCGATTATCTGCTTTCTGAAAGATGCCGACCGCGTTGAGTAACTTTCCCTGTGTCGAGCGACGAGACCTAGGCAGAGCTGCTTGAAGACCCCGATGTGTTTTCATGAGCTGTGGGTGGCACCTTCCGCCTCACTTCCCTGAAGTGGTGCTGACCTGAGGTTCGGTGCCCCGGCCAGGCCGTGTGGTGCTAGGGATTCACAGGGCCACCCCGGCAGTGTGGGGGGGCCGTGCAGTGCCAGAGAGCAAACCTGGGGCCTCAGGCCTGTATGGCTGCTCCTGCAGCCCATTGGGCATCCCCCTTGTCTCCAGGGTCATGTTTCTTATGAGACAGAGTAAGCGCAAGCCCAGGGAGCCCAACTCCTGACTCACTCCCCCCTGGACAGGGCAGGGAGCGAAGCACCCAGAGGTGATAATCCGCCTAACCTGAAGCTAGTGACTGTTTGCTAGGCTGAGTTTGTTGTTCTGGGGAGGTCTTACCCAAACGTGCTCAGGGGCTGCTCCAAGCTCAGTGCTTGCTCCTGGCAGTGCTTGGGGACTGTGTGGTGCTGGGGATTGAAGCAGGGCCTCCCACATGCAAAGCCTGTGCTCCAGTCCATTCAGCCACTTTCTGGTCTTCTTTTCTTTGCTTTATTTTTTTTGGTGGGGGTCGTTGGCAGTGCTCAGGGGACCATGTTGTGCTGGGTCATACTTGGGCCTCCTGCGTGCTCCCACATTGCGCTGTCTCCCTGATCCTGGCCATCTTTTCTTTTTTTTTTTCTTTTTTGGGTCACACCCAGCAATGCTCAGGAATTACTCCTGGCAGTGCTCAAGGGATCATACGGGATGCTGGGAATCAAACCCGGTCAGCTGCGTGCAAGGCAAACGCCCTACCTGCTGTGCTATCGCTCTAGCCCCCCCCCCCCCGGCCGCCTTTTCTTCCCCATGTTTCTTACCACCAGCACCCCCCTCCCCATCAGATACTTGGGTTTCAGTGTCTTGCCCCAACTCCGGTGCAGTGTGTTTTATAAATCATGCTTGTTACCGCCCTAGCTATCCATCCTGCTAGCAGTGTAAGCCGTTCCTTGGAGAGGGAGAATTCCTCCTTTCATTCCTGAGGTGACGGGACAGCAGGAAAGCCCCCGGTCAGGCGTTTCTCGTCTCGGCACAGTTGGCATCGGGCCGGGTGCTGCCTTGTGCTTGGGGGTGTCCTGCACATTGGAGGTTGTTGAGGTCCCTCCGGCCGCACTGTCTGGGCCTTCGCTCCCTCCCCTCGCTGCCCGCTTGCTGGCCTCCCCAAACAGAAGGCTCCTAGGGGTTTGCGTGGCAAAACAGTCTGACAGATATGGACACAGTTGTCTCCTTGAAAAGATCCTGTTCCTTTGAGTTCCTGGCAGCAGGATAGACATGAGTCACACGGGCCTCACAGGGCGCAGTGGACAGGGCCCAAGGCCTTCCTGGAGCTGCCAGGGTGCAGCGGGGAGGCGAGTTAGGACCAGTTTAGGGTGGGAGGGTCTGAGTAACTTCAGTCGGCTCTGGACCGAGGGATTGGCTATGGTTGTCCATTACCTGGGCCCGGAGAAAGGCTGGGTGTCCCGGCTCTGGATTGGCCGATCGGGAGCACGGGAAGTGCACTGGGGTAGGAGCATTTGTTTGCTGTCCTTAGAGTGTGAGAGGTAGATGCTGCAGGTTGATTAACAAGGTCTTGCCGGTTTCAATATATCATAAAGTTGGGGGGGAAAAAATAACTTGAGTAAGGGCCAGAGAGGTAGTACAGTGGGTAGGGCCCTTGCTTTGCATGTAGCCGACTTAAGTTCAGTCCCAGCATCACATAAGGTCAGTGAGCCCTGCCTGAAGTGATCCCTGAGCACTAGAGCCAGGAGTAAGCCCTGGGTGTGGCCAGAAAATAAACTTGTCTTAACACCTCTTCCCTGTTGTAGGACTGGCTGTAAACATGGCCACGTGTCCCCAGAGGGACCAGAGTACCCTCAGCTGGGAATTTTCCATCTGGTGGGTGAGTTGTCTCATCTCTGTCATTTGGGGAGAAGCGGAGGCTGGTTCCCTCACTGTCCACTGGGCCCTGCAAAGGCCAGTGACCTCAGGCCCAGTGCTGCAAGGCCAGAGGCCGAGCATTTTTGCCTTTTCTTATTTGCTGGTCGGCGGTCTGCTACGTTAGCGGGGAGCTCGATGCAGATCTTCCCAGCCCTAGTTGCAGAGTATCCACCCCTAAGTACTATGAGTTGGGACCAGGAGACTGATATTTATTGGGGAGTCCCTTATTGGGTAAAGTTTCTGGAAAGGCAGTGAGGGGCACCGCAGCGGCTCCCAAGGCCTCTGGAGACAGGGAGGAGAAGCACGGGTGGGGTCAGGGCAGGGCTTTGCTAGATTTTCTAGGCCTGTGTTACTTAGGCTGCATTTAGTTGGCCAGCTGAACTGCATTTTCTCATAAAGACTCCAAGACAGCTAGCCTTAGGCAAAAACCGTTTTTTATTTTCAAGGCTTAGAGCAGAGTTTCTTCAACTGACTTGGCCTACCACCCCCCTTTTCAGAAACAAAAACTACTCAGGGCTGTCCCAGAAATCTGCCTTCTTTAAGCAAACAAGTAAAAAGCGCACACCCCCTCCCCCCCAAATTGTCCACTTTGGGAAATAATGACTTAGAATATGTTACTACAAGAAAATTCCACGGCTCGGCAAAAACATGCCCTTCTTTAGTGGCCATTATTTTAAGGAGCTTTCTGTTTGTTAAAGTAATGATGATACAATCTCTTATCTTACTTGATCACATGAATCTTTGGAGAAAGTCGGCTCATGAGTTTACAGCTTCTTTCTTTGTATTCCTGGACTGTATTTTAGGGGCCCGGATTCCCAGTGAATGCAACATTGCAAACCTGAGTGTTTCATATGGGCTTGGGCAGGTGGGGGACCAGTGTGGACCCATTGCCACCACTGCCAAGTAACAGGGCGTACATGCACGATGGACACTGGGGGGGCCAGTAGCTTGTTCATTTGGCTTAATGAGCATTTTCCTTTAAAAATATTCTGAGGCCTTTATTCAGTAAATATTGAGGGATCACTCCTGGCAGGACTAGGAGACCATATGTTGTGCCAGGGGTAGAATGCAGTTTGACTTGCATGCATTGCAAGAACCTTGCCTGCTGTACTATCTTCTTGCTCTTTTTCTTTGTGGGGGGCGGGGGGAGGTAGGTAGGGTGGGAGAGGAAAGGGAAGGAAATTCACTGAGAACGAGCAGAGTCCCCCTTTACATACTCACATACGCAATCACTCATAACTTTACCTTGAGTCATTAATTATGAGTCACCCCTTGTAATTTGGGGGTCTTAGAGAAAATACAGAGTAGAAACTGTGGGAGACAACTTGAGTCCCCTCTCCCACTCTAAGACACTCTGAGCCCTTTAAAAGACTCCCCACGCAGAGACCTTGCTGTGGGTATCTCAGAGGTGCCTTGGGCAGTGGCTCTCACAGGCACATACACCATCCCTGTTATGTACATGCACACGCACACACCTGCCCAAAAAGCCCAGCCATTTATGTCGTGTGGAAACACGAGTCAGTAAATACCATCCTGATATCCTCTTGTAGGGTTTGCGTGTTGGGTTTTTTGGGGTGGAGCATCCGTACCTGATGGTGCTCAGGGGCTACTCCCAGTTCTGTACTTGGGGGTCACTTTAGAGGATGCTTACAGGACCCACAGAGGACTGAGGATCAAGTAAAATCTGGCTCTTATCTGGTGGTGCCCAGGTACTGAAGCATGTGCTCCAAACCCTAGTTTTCGTGTATTTTTTTTTTATCATGAGAATGTCTTTGCAGTGTAGTGAAAAATCATCATGAGAGAATATGCCACATACTTTTAACATTGTTTTGGTTTTGTTGGTGTTGTTTTGTAATAGATAAACCTCCTGGGGGCTGGAGAGATCACTCAGAGGCTTTGTGCAGGTTTTGTATGTAGGAGGCCTAGGTTTGATCCCTGACATCACATGGCTTCTTGAGCACTGTCTGAGCACTGAGTGAGCACTGTCACTCTTGAGTACTGCCAGGTGTGTCCCCAAACCTTAACCTCTGCAATAAAAAATTATGGGCTGGAGAGTTCAGTCCTGGGGGTTAGGTGCCTGCCTTGCCTCCTGCTGACCCAAGTTCAAGTGTGTGGCACCATATATGGTCCTCCACCAGGGACTACCCAGGCTCACTCTTGAACACAGAGCCAGGAATAGCCCCTGAGCACTACCAGATAAGAGCCAGAGAAGAGCCAGATTTGGGGGGGAAAAAAAATGCTGTATTTCAGGTATTCAGGACCAGAGAAATAGCTCAAAGACCTGGAGCCTCTGCTTTGCATGTGGAATTCCAGGGTTCGTCCCAAGCACCTCATAGTCCATTGAGCACTATTAGGAGAGTCCCCCGACCCCCAAGTGTTATACAAGGAGTAGCTCCCAAGCATCACCAGATGTGGCCACAAAACCAAAAACAAAGGACGACTATTTTCATTACATAGTTTTATAAAGCAGAGGGAGGGTCAGGACACACCCCTTGCGTGTGCAAGGACCCGAGATCTGGGGCACTGCGTGGCTCCAGAATGGAGAATGGTGCTGGGGGTGACCCGGGTAGGTGTGAGCAGTGCCATAGCCCTGCAGCCCAGCACGGCACTGTCTGAGATGGTTGGCCAGGTACTGCTGACAGTGCTGTCCCCAACCCCTGAGCACTATTTGTGAGGCACCGTCTTCCTCCCCCAAACCAAAAGTAAAAGGTGTTGCATGCTAGATGATATTTTTGAAGAAAATGTGTACATTTTAGTCAAATCAGGAGTATCTTTTTTTTTTTTTAAAGCAAATAAAATTGAACTCAAGAGATAGTACCCCAAGTAAGACATTTGCCTTACAGGCAGCCAACTCCGGTTCAATCCCTGGCACCACAATGGCCCCCACACTGCGAGGCATAAACCCTGAGCTCAGAGCCAGGAGTGATCCCTGAGCACTTCAGGGTGTGGCTCAACCCCTCCCCCCCCACCAAAAAAACACGACAAAATTTTTGAGCCATTAAGTGACGATGCCTCAAAATCCAGGCTCAAGTCTTCCTGCCTGTTTCCATTTCTGGTTTCCACCTGTGTCACTTCTGGATGCGTGGTGCATCGGTGCCGTCGCTGCCCCTGACGGCTGATCCGTTCTCTCCGGCAGAATGCCCTCCTGCCTGCGGGCTTCCGGCAGAAGAACCAGACATCCAAGGCGGCCACGGGGCCCTTCGACAGAGACCACCTGCTCTCCTTCCTGGAGAAGGAGGCGCTGGAGCACAAGGACAGGGAGGACTACGTGCCCTACACTGGGGAGAAGAAAGGTGAGCAGGAACTGCGTCGCTTGGGGTGGGGGGCTTGAAGGGAAGAAGGGTGGGGGGGGCTTCGCGGGCAGATGTGGTCCTGTCAACTTAAAAGTTAGGTAATTTGGGAACTTCGTGTACCTTTTTAGAAATAAGTTTGGCTAAGTGTTTCGTAAAGCTCTGTTAACACAGTCTTAATGCACAGTAATTTTACGTGGCCCTCTACAATTACTCACGGAAACTAAAAGTAGAGGCGAAAATTTTAATTTCCTAGTGTATATTCAGGTGAGATGAAACCACTACTCTGTTCTAATCCCCATCTTTATAGTGGAACACCATAATTAAGACTGTGTTTTTGAAGGATACTCTATATGCGTCTTTTATTTTACTTTTTTAAAAAAAGGAATTCATAGTTTGTGAGTGCTTCATAATCACTACTTTTAGGTGGTATTTCTCATCCAGTCTCACCCGTTGCAGAGTTTGATCTGGTGTGTCCTCGGTTGAGACTAAATAGAGCTCAGGTTTCTGAGGTTCTCACTGTGAAGTAAGTGAAGTTGGGAGGCTTTCAGTACAGTGCGTGCTTCCGTAGGACGTGCTCCTTGCATGCTTACGTAGGATATCTTAGGACTCTTGGAGTGACGTCGGAAGTCAGAGAGCCAAAGGTCAGCTCTTCGGGCCCTGTTTTCCCATCAGAATCCTTGGCATTTAGTGCGGGCTTCGTGCTTCCAAGTGGTGCATTCTGTTCGGCAGGGAAAACTTTCTCAAGAGCAGCGGCCACAATTCATCCTTTTGCTTGGCTGACACCGTCCCTTGGCTACAAGGGAAGCTTGGAGATTCATTTTTTTAACATCTGGGTCCCTGTCGTAGTTGGAGGGTTAGCTTTTGAGTAGAGATTCCACAAGGTCCGCACCAGACTTTTCAAATTCCCTGTCAATTCTTTGCTTTTTGGGTCACACCCGGCGATGCACAGGGGTTACTCCTGGCTCATGTACTCAGGAATCACTCCTGGCGGTGCTTGGGGGGACCATATGGGATGCTGGGAATCGAACACGGGTCGACCATGTGTAAGGCAAATCCCTGCCCACTGTGCTAGTATTGCTCCAGCCCCTTCCCTGTCAATTCATCTCCATCTCATCTGCTCTTTCTCTCGACCTTCTCCCCCAACCCCCCGCCCATGTCTGGTTGCAAATCGCTGCCATAGCTACTTGTTACACAGGGGTCTCTGAAGAAAGAACAAAAGGATGAGGGCACGTGAGATACAGACAGATACGGGGAGAGGTTGGTTTTGCCTCTTTGGATTAAAAGTCTCTAATCCAAAGGCAGCCTGCTGGAAGAATTCCCTTTTATAGGGATTCTGTGTAGATCACTTTTCATTCTGTTCAGGAACTGATTGGACCATATCTACCTCACTGTAGATGTGACCTGCCACATTTTACATTTTGATGTAACTGTTACTCAGAGCCCATTGATGCAAGTAGTAGTCTTTACCACAGTGCCTCATGAAGCATCCAGAGTAATATGGACCCCTCACCAAACCCAGTCAATCTTCACACTACTAGAGGAAACAGCATGTTATATTCCTCAGGTGTTTGGTGACAGAAAAGGGTTTGAAAACCAACGCAGAGTTTTGAAGAAATGTGGAGAATCACAAAGAGGTAAAAAGCTTCCTTAGCATTTGCCACAGGAGAGATTGCTGGTTATATTTTCATGATACAGCCACGTTTGTCACAGGGCAGTTACAGCTTCTGTTCTACAGGAGAGTATTGTTCTGTGTAAATAAATACTAGTTTATCACCCTCTACTATGATGCATGTATTCTGGGGACATAGGAAGAAGAATAGAGGCAGTGACATTAGGAAGGTCATGAGAAAAGAGATGTCTGGGGAAAACTACAGGACTTGAGGACAAGAAGAAAAAATAAAATGTGCAAGAGCTATGTCCTCAGCCGACCCGAGAGTGGTCTAGTATGATCTTACTCTGTTGTCTCTAGTTCCCTCGGGAAAGGTCCTGGAGGAGAAAGGAGGTATGAAGGTGGGGAGAGGAGAGTTTTGGGAAGTGTCTGCTGCGGAGAGGAGTGGCACTAAGAGAAGCCCTTCATCTACAGCATAACAGGCAGTTTTGTTCCCTTTAGCTTTCTCATTTGTTTTTGGCCTGCACTCTGCAGTGCTCAGAGGCAGGTCCTGACTCTGTGCTCAGGCAGGAGTGACCCCTGGTAATGTTCGGGGAACCAGATTTGGTGCTGGGATTTAAACCAGAGTTTAACCACTTGCAGCTGCATGCAGGGCACACACCTTAACTCCTGTACTATCCCTCCAGCTCTTCCAGCTTTTTAAATATTTATCTTACTTAGGTTTTAGACGTCTATAAGATCAATGGGAATAGTAACTATTTTGCCTTCATGATTAGTTATGTTTCCTTTCACAGTGCATTTAGCATTTTTTATTGCCTCTTTTTGCTATTTGTTTGCCAAATATTATTTATGGATAGCTATGATGCAGTGATTAAGACCAAGGCAGTATTTTAAGTAGTGAAGTTTATGAGGCCCAAGCTATAGTACAGCGGGTAAGGTGCTTCCCTCGCACGCAGCCGGCCCTAGTTTGATCCCTGACACCACATATGGCCCCAAGCCCCACCAGGGATAGCCGTGAGCAAGCCAGATGTGGTCCAGTAACCAAAATAAAATAAAATGCAGTAGTGAATTTTCTGAGGTGTCACATACGGAGAAAATGTTCAGTGGTGCGGCTCTGCAAGCGCTCTGCAACTCCGGATGTCCCAGGCCCCTCTGCGACCCCTGTCAGCAGCCCGCTGGTGGCAGCCAGCACCACAGCTTGGTCTGCGTTAAAATCTATGCAGAAAGAATCCCAGAGGTTGGGGCTCTGCCTGCCTTCCTGCCGTCCAGTTTTGCGCCAGTGGTACCATGAAGTCACTATAAACATCCTTCACCGTGTCATCACCGTGAATGATCCTATGGGTGCTCTTAATGCCAACCAAGGGCCTTCCATTCTCAGTTCCCCGGGAGTCACCCCAGAATCAGTTCTGGGCATTTGACACAGTCTGACTGATATGAACACCACCCTATAGAGGGTCGGGTCACTTTCAGAGCAGGGTACAGCACCGAGAAGTACAGCCGCATCACCAGCAACTGGGTGACTTGGCAGCGCTCAACCCAGAGACTCTGAAAGCCAGCTCTGGTCCCTTCCCCCTGTCGTCCTTCTGTTTGTGGGCCTCAGCGGTCCACTGTCAGAAGTGAACGGACAACTTGCACTCTTTGGGACTCATCCAGATCTCAGCCACACCCCAGAGAGCCTCGGACAATCCTCCAGCTCCTCTGGACTTTATTAGCAAACTCCTCCCTCATCCTGAAATATCAGCTTTGGGAGGGGGTGGGGAGGAGGCGGGGGATGGGATTTTACGTGGCCGTGCTCAGGGGCTACTCTGACTCAGTGATTGGCGTTCAGTCCCAGCACTGCCTGATGGAACATGTGGAGCCTGGAGTCATGGACCTCCCCCTTACCAGCTTTGTCTGAGAGTTTGGTTTTGGGTTTTAGTGGTGATTTTTTTTTGCTTTTCTTTTTTTGGAGGGGTAGTGGTTGGGCTATGTTCAGGGGAACTATATGTGGTGCCAGGATTGAACTCTAGTTGGCCGTGTGCAAGGCAAGCACCCTACCCATTGTACTACCTCTCTGGCCACTCAGAGCTTGTTTTTTGAGATGCCCCTCATGGGACTGCTCAGACCACGTATTTGTGTTGCATCCATCCCAGATATTTTCTGACTAGCTTATTATTTTGTTTTCCTTTTTTTGCTTTTTGGGTCACACCCAGCAATGCACAAGGGTTACTTCTGGCTCTGTGGCTCTGCACTCAGGAGTTACTCCTGGCAGTGCTCAGGGGACCGTATGGGATGCTGGGAATCGAACCTGGGTCAGCTGTGTGCAAGCAAACGCCCTACCCACTGTGCTATTGCTCCAGTCCCTCACTACGTTACTCCCTCACTTCCTCTACCTTTAGGAGGTAGACTTTGTTGCTAAGGTTGTCTCGTAGGGATTCTCTCAGTTCTTTGTAGTTTACTAATCCATCTTTGTTAAGAAGCAGAAGTTTATCTTTTAGTGTTCTAGTCAGAAATGTAGTGTGTGACCAGTCTAAGCCATTTTTCACACTTCGATGACTGGTCTGAGTTCAGTGCCCAGTGGCAATACTCGCTCTCAGTGCCAGGCGTTGTTGTTCAGCTTTCAGAACTGCTTCCAGGCAGTACGCCCAGATCCATCACAAGCTCTCACTTTTCACTACTTCCAAAGGATCAGTCAGATGACTACTGATGCTGGGGGGTGGAATCGGCCCACAGCTCGCAAGTGCTTCAGCTTATTCCTGGCTCTGTGCTCAGGGATCATCTCTGGTAGGGTTGGGGGACCAGAGGGTGTGCCAAGGATTGAACCCAAGGGAGTGCCAGGGGTTGAACTCAGGACAGCCATGTGCTTACCCACTGTGCTCTGTCTAACCCCCAAATGTTCTACATCATCGTCCCCCGCCCCCTGCCCCCCGCGCGCGCTTCATACCAAGTGTTCTACTTCTCTTGGTGTGTTTTTTTGGCTGGTTGGTTGGTTTTGAGGAGGGGGCCACACCCAGCAGTGCTCAGACTATTCCTAGCTTATTGGTCAGGAATGACCCTCAGCAATGTTTGCGGAACCATGCTCTGGGCTCAGGCTGGGCTTTCTGCTCGTAAAGCACTGCAGCCCGCTGGGCGCACTCACTCCAGTGGGACAAGGCAGCTAGAATGGTACGCTTAACAAAAGCTCTTGCAAGGCCTTTTTTTGGGGGGGGCTTTTTGTGTCACACCTGGCGATACACAGGGGTTACTCCTGGCTCATGCACACAGGAATTACTCCTGGTGGTGCTCGGGGGACCATATGGGATGCCAGAGATTGAACCCAGGTCAGCCGCATGCAAGGCAAACACCCTACCCACTGTGCAATCGCTCCAGCCCTGCAAGGACTATTTTTAAATGCATTATTTACAGGACTGAG